CAAATGTTGTCTTTTGGCAAATGCTGCCTTTTAAATGGCAGCCATTATATATTAATAGAACAATGTAAATACGAGTGGAGTAGAGTACGTTAACTGAAGTGCGGGGGAGAAGGTAGTGAATTTAGTGTTCATGTAAGGTACCAGACAGATAAATCCTGGATTTCATTCTCCAGGATTATCAAACAGGTACAGAAGTGGCAGCAGCCATAATGTTTAGTCCTTATACATCACCTGTGATACGGAAAGCCACCCCACTAAAGTGATGGGATAATTCAGCCTCCATATCCACAAAGGGCCTGATTTACAAAGATATTTAGACACCTAAAGACACAGATAGGCACCTAATGGGATTTTCAAAAGCACCTAGGTGCTTAACTCCAATTCAGATAGAGCAGGGACTTCAACCTAGGTCTTTGAAATCCCAGGCAACGTCCCTAATCAACAGTCTACAGAGTCAGTCTCTTTCTGCCTCAGTGCCTATATAGTTACTTATATAAAGAGAGACTCCCCAGCCTAGTGGTTAGGGCGCTTGCTGGGGATGTGGGAATCAGGCAGAACAGGGACTTGAACTTGGAGCCTTCCACATTCCCTGTGAGTGCTGTAACCCTAATGCTGTTGGCTAATCAGGTTTCTTACCCACACCCTAGGAATTCCATCCAAGATCTGAAAACTTTCCCAATAAACACTTCATTGAAAGTGACCCATTTCAATGGGGGATGTTTCACTGAAATATTCCCAACCAGCTTTACAAACAACCCTCAATGTCATTTTTATTTAATACCAACCTTTCATCCGGGGAGTCAAAGGAGAAAGGTTTATGGAGGCACTAGTGGTTCAAGGTCTGGGGCTTGCTCTGTTTAGTGCTGACTTTCTTCCCCTGCCCCCCAAATTTCAAAAAAAGTCTCAAAGTTAACAGGTCTGTGAACAGACACAGAGGGCTGTCCATGTGGATCAGCTTACAGGCGTGGCACCCAAGAGGGGCAAGGGACTTAAATTTTTAGGACATAAAAATTGCAGTAGGGAGCTAAGCAATGGTTTAGTATCATAATGTAATCAACTTCTCCTGCCTCGTGACCAGTTCAGACCAGTTCAGGAGCAGTGCTCCAATTCTGACAATTGCCCGTCTTAAAGTGCTTTCAAGAGGGAAAGTGCTAAGTTGTGACAGCGACAGACATATGTGACAGTGATAAGAAAGGAATAACAACAATACCTAGCTCTTCGATACCACTTAGCTTCTTTGTAAAGCACTTTGAGATCTAAAAGATGACTAGGATCATTATTCCCAATTTTCAGATGGGGACAAATCACCCATGCCTAATCTCCATATCCCACGAAGTTTCCAATCCCTCCCCCCCTTTCGAATTTCTTTCCATTTTTCCTCTCAAATTATATACGCAACCTACACTTCGGAAGCTCCTTGCAGTTGCAAGAACCAGCATCCGGAGCCCGACCCCCCAAACCCGGCCGATATTTGAGATCCCGGTTTCACAGTCCCTGCTCAGCACACAGAGCATGCCTCAGTGTCCACACACGAGAGAACGGCGGGGCCTCTGCACTCCCGCGAAAACAAGCTCAGGTCTGAAACAAGCGCCGCCCGTTGATCTATGCCCTGCACCGCTCCGCCGCACACCGCGCTGGCCGGGTCTCACGCCAAACTCCTCACCTGCCGCCGCCGACGCTGCTGCTGGTCCTAGGACACTGCAGCAGCCGCAGCTCCCTGCCCGGGCTCCTCCTCCTCGTGCCGTCGCTTCAGCAGAGGCTCCGCGTTCTGTCTCCGCCCACCCGCGGAACCTCACAACTTCACCCCCCTGGCGCGCGCAGCAGCGAGCACCAGCTCCTCGGGCCCGGCCAGCGGCTCTCGCAAAGTGTTTTCAAAAGGGCAGCGGCAAGCGCGTCCACCCCTGCACTTGCACTCTTGTTTATGTCCAGTCCCTGAGCGCCCAGCGCTGCTCTCAGACAGACACTTGCTCATGCTCAGTGCCTGCATGGTCACTTTCTTTCTACCAGCCCCTGAACTGCCAAAATGCATTGTGGGGATTGTAGTTTTGTAATATAGTCCTACTTTACTTTAGGTTTTCCTGGAAGTGTCTCTGTGTGTAAGGGAGTAGGGAAAAGAGGAGGAGGAACCATCTTCTGTTTCTTGTTATTTTGAACATTACATGCGGTGTGGTTATTTTATTCAGTGTTGGGCCCAGGTTGTTAGAGAGACACGGTGGGTGAGGTAATATCTTTTATTGGACCAACTTCTGTGGGTGACAGAGAGAAGCTTTGGTGCTTACGCAGAGCTCTTCTTCAGGGTCTGGAGAAGATCTGGCCGAGACCCTGAAGAAGAGCTCTCTATGAGCTCAAAAGCTTGTCTCTTTCACCCACAGAAGTTAGTCCAGTAAAAGATATTACCTTACTCACCTTGTCTTTCTAATAATTATTTTGTTAGTCATGTCATATGGGCTTCCACATAGTCATTCCACTAGGGAATAATCTTCTTTTTAAATGGATGAACCATAATTTCTTATGACTCACACAACAGATATAAGTGTGTGCATACGCAAACAACAGAAGTGAGATTGGTCCTGTAAACTTACTTTGGACTTACCTGCTTATTGTCTGGATGTAAAATCATAGAATCATAGAAGATTAGGGTTGGAAGAGACCTCAGGAGGTCATCTAGTCTAACCCCCTGCTCAAAATAGGACCAACACCAACTAAATCATCCCAGCTAGGACTTTGTCAAACCAGACCCCTCCCTAGGTAACCCATTCCAGGGCTTCACCACCCTCCTAGTGAAATAGTTTTTCCTAATATCCAACCTAGACATCCCCCACTGCAATTTGAGACCTTGTTCTGTCATCTACCACCACTGAGAACAGCCTAGCTCCATCCTCTTTGAAACCCCCCTTCAGGTAGTTGAGGCTGCTATCAAATCCCGCCTCACTCTTCTGCAGACTAAATAAGCCCAGTTCCCTCAGCCTTTCCTCATAAGTCATGTGCCCCAGCCCCCTAATAATTTTCATTGCCCTCTGCTGGACTCTCTCCAATTTGTCCACATCCTTTCTGTAGTGGGGAGCCCAAAACTGGACACACTACTCCAGATGTGGCCTCACCAGTGCCAAATAGAGGTGAATAATCATTTCCATCAATCTGCTGGCAATGCTTCTAGTAATGCAGCCCAATGTGCCGTTAGCCCTCTTGGCAACAAGGGCACAGTGCCCAGCTTCTTGTCCACTGTAATCCCCAGGTCCTTTTCTGCAGAACTTCTGCTTAGCCAGTTGGTCCCCAGTCTGTAGCAGTGCATGGGATTCTTCCATCCTAAGTGCAGGACTCTGAACTTGTCCTTGTTGAAGCTCATCAGATTTCTTTTGGCCCAATCCTCCAATTTGTCTAGGTCACTCTGGACCCTCTCACTACCCTCCAGCATATCTACCTCTCCCCACAGATTAATGTAATCTGTGAACTTGCTGAGGGTGAGATGCATCCCATCATCCAGATTATTAATGAAGATGTTGAACAAAACCGGCCCTAGGACTGACCCCTGGGGCACTCCGCTTGATACTGGCTGCCAACTAGACATTGAGCCATTGATCACTACCCATTGAGCCCGACGATCTAGCCAGGTTTCCATCCACCTTATAGTCCATTCATCCAATCCATACTTCTTTAACCTGCTAGCAAGAATACTGTGGGAGACCGTATCAAAAGCTTTGCTAAAGTCTAGGTATATCACATCCACCACTTTCCTCATATCCACAAAGCCAGTTATTTCATCATAAAAGGCAATCAGGTTGGTCAGGCATGACTTGCCCTTGGTGAATCCATATTCACTGTTCTGATCACCTTCCTCTCCTCCAAGTGCTTCAAAATGCAGGGCTACCCTTCAGGACATTGAAAACAAGGATAGAAGCACTCAGATGCCAGGGTGAGGGGTGACCTTATAAAATCTTACACAGATAGATTAGATGGAAGCAACATGCAGCAGGGATGAATGTTCTTTGGGTTCACTGCCTTCCTACCAAACAAAAATTAGCATTCACTTCTGTTTCCTTAAATATGAAACCACTACTAGTTGTAACTGGCACTGCTTAAGGGCCAATTACATTTTTAAAGTAGATGGAAGTAAAAAGAGAGGATCTGGAGTGAAAGGGCATAGAAGTGGGAAGTGCCAGCTTTCATTTTCCACTAACCCTGCAAAAGCCATTCAGCTGAGAGCTGTGCAGATGGGCCCTGGCTTCTGTAGATTTCCTGAAGCCAAACACAAGGCTCAGGAGATTCACCAATTTCAAGAACGCACAGTATAACATAAAGAAGATCAGAGGCTGCATTTTAAACATAAACAAACAAAAGCACCATCACATCTTTCACTTTCCTAGGCACCAGTACACCTTGCTATTTTAAAAAGAAGTCACTGGAAGCTGAGGATGCTTCTCATGCCAATGTTGCCAACTCTCAGGATTTCTTGGGGAGTTACATGAGTTTGGTTGGTACTGGAGGCTAAAGCTAGTCTCCCTGTGAAGCCAGAAGCTCCTGACCTCTCCTGAATTTCATCCCTGCCTGGGGAAATCCCCTTGCTTTGCTGTATTCCTCACCTTCCCACCTCCTCAGAAAAGCCAGCAATCGGGGCTACTACAGGAAGCAGGCAGATTCCCCCTCCCCTCAGGACGTTGGGGTAGCGTGAGAGGGAATAGCCAGCAGCTTTCTCACAGGAGGGGAGCAGAAAGAGTCCTGCTACTTCCCCATCCTCTCATGTGATTAGTGGGTCAGTCAACTCTCGGCTTCTCCTGTCAATTCCAGCAACACCAGCCTAGGGAAAGGGTGAAGAACCTTGTCTGTCACCCAGCTGCAGTAGTCTCCCCCCATGGCTGGGTTGTATGTTTGTGAAGAACCACAGGAGCATAGGTGAAGATGGAGGGACAGGCCTATGTGGGGGTTACATAATTAATTGTGTGGGCGGGAAGACACATAATTAAATCGATCAATTACAGGCAGCACACTGGGGATGGGCAGGGGGAGTTAACAATTCTTTTAAAAAAATTCTGATTTTTGGAGTCTGGCTAAATTTTTGAACTTTGGTCATTTCTCATGAGGTTTGTTTGTTTGTTTTCCTGTTTCTATTTTTTTTTTTAAATAGAGTTTTTTGGCCAGTTTCCTGATTTTTGAACATTTGAATTTTTGAACTATGGTCATTTCTCATGAGGTTTGTTTGTTTGTTTTCCTGTTTTTTTTTTTAATAGAGTTTTTGGCCACTCCTTATTTTTGAACCTTTAAGGGGAATCTCCAATACTCTGTGTGGGTGGATCTGAGATCATTTAAGGTTGAAAAATGAAAGCCTCACCCCAAGTGTTTTCAGGGGCACTCCAATTACTCTTTCTGCACCACTAGGTGGGTGGATTTTCCATTCTATCCTTTCTACCACCACCTCCCTGCCCTGCCCCGCCCCATCTTTTCCCCAACCTTATAGTCACTTCCCTTCATAGCTTTTTCCCCATAACTCCGTCTCCCTGCCATCTCATTCTCATCCCCCTCCCAGGCATTCATATGCCCCTAACATCCTCTCTGTTCCTTCCAGTTTTCTGCTCACCTACATTCTTCAACTTCCCATGGTCTCCATTTCTTCCCCCCATTCTCCCTCCCTTTCCTCTTCAGTTTCTTGTCCCCCCTCCCCACTCTCTCCATCCTGACATTCCCTTGCTCCTCAGTCTGTCTGCCCCCAAAGTCCCTATCTGTAGTCCACATTCCACTGTCCCCTCACTGTCTCCTGCCTGGACTATACGCGGTAAATGTGGGCAGGAACGTCCATTAAAGAAAGCCTGGCTTCAGACCCATTGGAGACAATGGAAGATAGTAGCCATCTTTTTTTCTAGAGGCAGGCTCATTTCCAGCACCAAAGGATCTAAGGAAGTGATGGCCATTGGGGGTGAGGGTACCCATGGGGACATGTGGTGATTTTAAACAGACAGAACTCACAAGATAGCCCAAGCTTATCCTGAGATCATCATCAGCTTTTAAAACAACACACTAAAATCATGAGGATAACAGAGAGAGATGGCATCTCTGTATGTTTTAGGATTGAACCAGCCCTCAGTGAGCATGCAATATTACAAAGTCTGTACCTGATCCTGCTTCTACTGCAGTCAATAGATGGTTTGCCATTGACTTCATTCAGGCCCTCTGTCATGGGAACTTCCTATTTCCACACCCATGTAGTACTCAGCAGTTAATAATATGGTAGTAATTCTCATGTTTGTATGTATAATTAAATACTCCCAGAGCGACAAAATTGTTAAACATGCTTTCCATAAATTAATGTAAGGCTTTAACTGTTGAAACATTTGCCCCTGCTAAACTTGATTTTCCCCAAATGACTATCAATTTAATAGGTTAACACTCCCTCCCCCAATCTGTGTTTTGTTGCAGATTATGTAACTAATGATCCAAAGAGCTATCTTCTGTAAAAAGAAATATACACTAAGGGTGGGATTTTTCAAGAGTACTCACTGTGGTGAGTCTAAATCTACTTTTCTTGAATCCACGTGAATTTTACCATTGACTTCCCTGGGAACAGTTAGGCCAATGCTGAGCACTTTTGAAAAATCTCACCCTAGATTAGCACAAAAGCTATAAGAATGACTAAAATAACTATAAACTTAATAAAATATTGGCTTGTGAATTGACCAACTGAAAGAGGTCTCACCTACCAAATTTCTAATCAGCATTGTGAGTTATAGTTCAGTCTTAAAAAGATCTTAAAAAGTGCTAGGTCTGTCATCCCTATAACTGGAACAATACAATAAAATATTAATCAGCATTCTAATGAATAAAACACACATTTATTTTTCTGATCCTGTCAGCACTTTGTTAATTTTCCACAAATGTTCACAAGTGGAATTTTTGTCTCCAAGAACGTTTGCTGAAAACTGAAGTTTTATGAATACTTGTTTGAATATTCACAACAGCAATGTTCTCAAAGCCATTCCTCCTTTTCAAAAAAGTTTCA